ATGGCCCAAACTGCTGGTCCAGGGCCTAGAACAACAGGTTCAGCAGTCAGTGGTGTTTTATTTACTTACAATTTTGTGGGCCATAAGGAAGAGCATATGGTAAGTATAAATTACTGAATTTATTTTAGGAAGTGATACATTATAGCTTCTCTTTGGTTTAGTTTTATCCCTATGAAGAGCAGTAATTCTTGGGAATAATAAGAGATACATATACTTTAGTTTAAAAAATGTTTTAAAACACTTTCTGTAAAGCAATAGTTAGGATATATAACCAAGTATAATACTTTGGGAGTATATCCCTGTCAAAAAAACAAGAGAGCCACATGGAGATCAGAAAGACAGATAGAAGCCACCCCATAGCAATGACCCACTTTGAGAGGGAATTCACAAACTTGGAGCTTCTCCTTGAGGAGAAAAGGGATTGTATCTCACATCAAGCACAACAGCTTTATGGGATGCACCTTTTATGGCTGGCTGGATCTGCCATATTATCAGTCCACTAGTTAGCTTTTTATTCTGCTACTTTTCTACTTAAATTGAACTCCTTTATCCATTTATCTTTTATTTTTGTCTTTTTTATCACTGCCCATTTGACTTTCATCATGTGGCTATTTCAATGGAAACTGTCCTATATATCCAAAACATCTGGCTTTGAAAACCAGTGGAGGTTCTGATCTAGGACATCCAAAAGACTGTAGTAAATGAGAAATAGCTCTTAAAAGGCTCATGCACAGACTCTCTAGACCTAGTTGCAGTGCAGAAGCAGCTATTCGAATAGTGTCCAGAATTTTTGTGATGACATTCATTCTATAATTTTAAGATCATGGTCCTAATCTTTTCTTTTTCTATTCATTCATTTATTTTTTTATTCATTCATTAGAGGCTGGGTGCATGAAATTTGTGCATGGGTATGGTCCCCATGCCTGGCCAGCGTTCAGGGTCAATCTTTGGGGCAGCCAGCAGAATGATCGCAGCCCCCACTTGCATCTGCTTTGGCCTGGCGCCTCCTGCTCACCTGCCCCACCATCCCACCGCGTTCTCTCTCTTGTTGGGCCCATAGAGGTCAGCAGTGCCTCCACAGCCACCTGCTGCCAGCGCCACGTTGCCGATATTCGCTGTGTTCTGCACTGCTCCCTTTGGGGTCAATGTACATCTAACTCCTGGTTGGTCAAATTCCCGCCCTTGGGAACAGTTTGCATATTAGCCTTTTATTATATAGGACTAGAAACCCGGTGCACAAAAATCTATGTACTCGGTGGGGAGGAGGGCATCCCTCAGCCCGGCCTGTGCACTCTCCCAGTCTGGGACCCCTCAGGAGATAATGAACTGCTGGCTTAGGCCTGCTCCCAGGTGGCAGAGGGCAGGCCCAATCCCTAAGTGCAGCCCCTGTGCGGTCTCAGAGCAGGGCCGATTGGGGAGTTGGGGCGCCGCCCCCTGTCATGTACAGAGCAGGGTGGATCCAGAGGTTGCGATGCCACCCTCAGTCACGCTCAGGGTAGGGCCGATTGGGGGGTTGGGGCACCAC